TTGTTCCAGCTATGTCTGCCCTTCTCCTTGGACTAGGATGCCTTCCAGGTGTCCTGCTTATGTTATAAGGTCTTCTCCTGCAATATGTCTTTCCTGATGAAATTTCAACAGATTCAGCTCAGCCCATTTCCCCTAGCCCAGCTCCTGATTCTCTTAAGGTCTCTTATTTTGAGTGGGCCAAATGCTGTCTGATCCTCCACACATGTTGTTGCTGGTGTGTACCACTGCTTTAGTCCACTCAGGAAATAAAGCGGAGACCCCAAAATGCTGAGTTCCTTGTATGAGTAGCAATGACCCCTAAGTGAATTTTGGTTTGTGTTACTGGAGTGCTTCTCATAGCCATCCGTGTTGAAATTTAGTCTTTCCATCCTAAGGAATGTAGGCCATCAAGTTGTAACTAATTATTTTCCTTTGTCAGCAATCCGAGTACGCTAATTGTAGCTCTAGCTCTGCATGGATTTCTTACCCACAAATGGCTATTTTTACACACAATGTTCTAGCAGATAAGACAGGCAGTGGACAACCATCTACCATTATATTCCAATATCTTTCTTAAACCTTCATTATCACAATTAATTGTCCTCACCACAATTAATTAACATCTCCCCTGTATTTCTCTAGATGAATTCTGTCTCCCCAGACAGCTCATTGCGAGGCTCAGGCAGGAATGTGTGGTGTGCCCTGGCATCTAAGGGACCTGAAAGAGTGTCCTGTCCACTCCTAGGCTATTTTACCCTCATGTTTGTAAAAGACCTTGGGTCTCCACAGCGAGATGGGGTTCAAATGCTCACAGGATCCAAAATGGCAATGCACAAGTCTGCAGGTTACTGTCAGAGCACGACACAAAATAGACTAGCACTGAAGTAAGAACACACAGCACAGCCCAAGGCTGCCTCACAGCAAAGGGTCTGGAGACACTCCTGAGCTCCAGGTTTCCTCCCGCTGTAAGGGCTGTACCAGGGCACGTTTTGTCTCTTAAATCAGGAACCACCAACTTCTGTACAGAATCCCTTGGAAAGAGGGGTTCCAGGCAGGGCTTCAGCCAGTGTTTCTTCTACCTCAC